TGCTGACTGGCCTATGGCTGCTTTTTTGGTTAGCATTACCGTATATTACAGCTCTTGAAGAAACCTGCCTCCTCTGAGATAGTGTGTGCAAATGTGTTTTCTATGGTTATGGGGTTGATCCCATTTCTTTGATGCAGGAGACTGTGCGGTTGGAGTCAGCTATCCAAAGGGACATGATCTCTGAAGATGCATTAGGTGGCAATTTTATATGCCTTTGCATATGTCCTCATCAATCTGGACCCAAGCCTTTACCATATCTGGATGGATATTGTCGATAGATGGTGTTGAGGTGAAGTGTATTGCAAGTGCGAAGTACTCTGAAAACCTTATTTGGCCAGAGAGGGGCTTTTATCCTTAAACAGCAACTAGTAAAATAAGGAAAATTATTCATTAATTTCTCAACTTATTCAAGAACTTTCATTCGATGATAAAGCACATGTAGCTATTACAAGGTGTTTGTGTTATGCATACGTAGAATTATTTCATTATAGATCTGGTGTCTGTCTAAAGCTGACTCCAGTAGTTCCCCTAAGAGAAGTTTATCTGGTGAAAAATTAGGTGTGTTTTAGCTGATACCCAACCAATTTGCTGAACTTATTTTTACTTCTGCCCAGAGGTTTTGAGAGTAAACTGATAGCTGAGAATCCATTTGGCTTTGACCAGTGAGGAGAGAAGCATGCAAAAACCCAGGTAGTGAAGACTACAAGGCTTCTACAAATTGGGAAGCTCAGACCATGGGGCTGGGAAAATGGGCTGACAGACTTTTCCCCTGGTGGGTCTCTTCTGCTTGGCCTTTCAGTGTATTCCTTGTTTTCAGCCAGCTGCTCAAAGCAGTAGAACCCATTTCCTCAGACGCATGTAAAGTAGCAAACGTTGCTGCTGCTTAGAGTGCAGCAATGCAATAAATATTGCAAAAAGCGAGGCTCTTGGGAGCAGAGCAGGCATTGGGTTGTGTGCAGTTTCAAAGCTAACTGGTTGAAACTGTGGAAGATCTGAATTTCTAAACAAATCACACAAATGTGATATTTTCATGTAAATTAAGCTACTAATAACTACTAATAAAAAAATCTCCTTCTAAAGGTACTACTTAGAATTATCTCCTCATTTGAACATACATGACTTGTACCTACTGATAAAGATATATCTAATGTCTACCAAAGCAAAAAAAAACAAAATAAAAATCATTTAGATCTGGAAAAGTGATCACAATGAAAGTTTCATTTGCAAGGGATTTAAGGATTTATGGAGACTTGAAGTGAGTATTATGTTTTGAATAAATACACCATTGACCAGTATCAGATTCCCTTAGTCTTTATCTTGTTTTTCCTAAGCAACTGCTCATAAACTTTTTTAATATCTTGGCTAGCATGATGGTGCTACTTGCAAATCTGTTCATAGAGCTATTATTCTATGATAGTGCAATCTAGAGAAAGGAATAACGCTTAGTTGTTCCTTTCATTGTTTCAGTTAAAAAGCCATAAATAACAAGTTGATAGGGTTTCTTTGTGCTTCTTTCTTTTCAACTAACACGTTAAATATTTCAAGAGAGGTTTGTCAAGATATCGCAAAAGTAGCTCTTAGTTCTGATCTGAACTTTACGGAACCCTGCTTTCATATAATAGGAAGGAAAAACAAGTGATCAGTCTGAGTCCACGACTCAATGGCTACAGCAAACTCTCAGTGCTTTTGATTCCTGTGTCATAGCAGTTAGTACTCAGATGAATTTAGCAGAATCAAACATACACAAAATCTGAAGGGAGAGCAATCTCCTGTGACTTCTGAAGAAGAAATTTGACTTCTAAGGCAAGTTTAGCATATGGGCTCCCTCCCTCCCCTCCTTTCTTCCCCCACCTCTCTCTGTCAGGCACCATCTCTGACTGTCCCTGTGACAGTCATGAGCTTTGCCAGACAAGTCTGCTCGTGGCAGCAGGGTCAGCAGCTGCTGCTGAGCAGTGACAGCCACAAATGTGGAAACAGCTGAGACCTGCAGTGACCTGCTGGTAAGAACCATGCAGGCACCTGCACAACCCAGTGATGTTCTAGTTAATTCTGTAAAGGGCACCAGGGCTTCTGTCCCTGCTTGCATCAGGTACTGGAGATTTCAGATGACTGTTCACCCTCATGGTCAGGCCAGATATTCCATGCAGCAGCATGTGATGCATACACAAGGGAAAGACTGGCTGTAAAGTTCCAATTTTTGAAGAAAGAAAAATATATTCACTGAGGAGCCTCAGAATAAAGAATTGGGAAAGCTTTTGTTTTGGTCGGAGCTACATTTTTGCTGCCTGTTGCTTCCAGGCAACTAGATCAGAAAAATGAGCTTGTTTGCCTTTGGCATATTGCTGCAATACACACATAGCAGTACATATAGCCCAGAGAGAAGAGAGACTCATACCTTTATGTAGCTGCACTTAAGAACTGGGTATGCTCAGTTGAAGCTTAAGGGCTGTGTCAGAGGCTGAGGGCAGTGGAATCTCTCCCCAGGCAGCTGTTGGCTATGCTCTGCTAGCAGGGCTGGGAGCAGGGACTTGCCGTGTTGCAATAGCTCTGCAGCTCCAGCCCTGCCACCCTCTCACAGGTCACATCCCTGACAGATCACCCTGAGCTGTGTTGTATAATCAACTACCTGTGTGTATTTGCTTACCCAAGGTCTCCAAGCACCCCACAAATACTGCTGGAGTCCTGCAGTGTTCTGGCAAAACTGCCATCACCTCTTCATTTCTCCTTAGCTTGAAGGAAGCATTGAGCAGAACCCATGAGCTTTTGTTCCTATCTGCTTTACGCACCAGGCACATTGTCTTCACTGCTTGCCCTCTGCGCTAGCTAAGCATCTGTAGGCAGAGGAGATGCTTGGCTTCCCCTGCTGCATGGTACAAGGTGTTAGACCCTGGTTGACTGAAGTCCGTAAGCATTTATTTCAGTGGGACCACTCTTGCTCTAAAGCATCCCTAGTCAGGTGCTTTCATCTGTGAATTCCTCTGAAGTGTGTAGGATGAGAACAAAATCCTCTGAAAAGGGTTTCATATTCCCAGTTGATGTAAGACAGAGCAGCCTCACTGGAGCCCCACTAGTTTCCCACTGATGAAGACTAGCCAAGGGAGTGTCTCCGTACAGGGCTGCAAAACAGCTTTGCAAGAACAAAGTGAGATTTGGACTTTGCTTGCACTGTTAGTGTGTTTGTTCAAGAATGAATTTGAAGGATAAAGGCATGGATGGTTAGTGTTTAGGAAAACACATTCATGACCAGTCAGTCTACTGGAGAAACTGGTAAAAGACAATTCACCTTCTGTCTCTGTCCTGTACCACCCAGCAGCTAGCGAGACTTGGGGCTGCTGGTGGTAAACTGCCTTTCCTTACCCAAGAGGTATCACAAATACTGCAGCATGTGGCTAGGGACAGCAGGTCCACTTCCACCAGGGCTTTGGTAATGCTTGTGGATGTACAAATGTTTGGTTTACATTTCCAACGTGTATTCAAAGATGCTGTTCCAGGTGGCTCAAAGAATTCTTTGGATTGTGTCTGTGGCAATATTGTTACTGATTTGCTTCTATATTATTACATTTAGAGTTCAGTTTGCCTTTATAGTGGGATCTACATTCTACAACCAGGGAGAAATGAATTCCTCAGCTATCAGTTTCTTATGTATTAAGTTTCAGAATATTTTTTAATTTCTCTTCCCAAAATAATAGTTTTATTACTTTTAAAACCATTAGAGAAGACAAGAACTGAGCATAAGAGCTTCCCCCATGCCCCCAATTTCTTTTGTATGTATCAAGTACCTATATAAATTCTATATAATAGCTTTAGCTGCTCCATCAGTATATCCCATTATATATCTAAGACTTTTAAAGCATCACATACACTGAATCTGAAGGATGTTACCAATACCCTGTTTTCTGTGAACTCCTCTTCACCAGAGCCCCGGCAAGGGCAGGATGCAGAGGGATACTTTAGGGCTCTATACAGCCCTGTGATTTATGCTAAGCTTCGTCTCAGCAGTGCACCGATGAATTTATCAGAGCCCTCGTAGTACGTCGTACTTGGCTCGGGCCGCACCTCTCACACCTCCGGCACCGAACCGAACCGAACAGCGCTAGGGGAAATTCGGACGAGGTGGCTCGGCCCAGGGGTCCCGCAGGTGCCGGGGCTGGAGCCGAGGTGAACATGGGGTCAGGGCCGCGGTCCCGGCGCGGCTGGGCTGGGCTCATCAATTTCCCGTGCTCGGTGTCTGAGCCCCGGCGCGGCGCTAATGCGGAACAAATTGAGACATATCCTCTCCGTAATTAGTTCCAGCGTTTCAAAGATTTACGGTAAAATAATGGCCAGAGCCCCACCGGCCTGGCCTGGCCTGGCCTGGCCTGGCTCGGCCCTCCGAGAGGAGGCGGTCCGGGGGCCGTGAGCTCGCTCAGCTGCTCCCGGCCGGGCCGGGGCCGGGCTGGCGGGGCCTGCAGCGGCGCGCACAGCCCGCGGTGGGCGCGGGGGGCGAGCCGATGTCGCAGACCTGAGATACGGGGCTGGGGGAGTGGGGAGAGAGCTCCGGATGTCCCCCGGAGCCTAGGGGCTGTTCACTGGAGAGCCGCCATCGGGCTGTCCCTCGCCTCGGGGGAACCGGAATGCCCGAGCGGCTTCGCGGAGAGCCGTGCAGCGGACACGCACCTTCTGCCGTAAAAAGAGGCTTTTTGCCCCCTGAAAAGATAACCAAAATGTCCTCTCCCCAGCTCAAAAACGCGCCGGTGGCCCCCTCAGCCAGAGCCCGCCTTGCCGGAGCTGCCATGCTGCTCGCGGTGCTCGGCGGGGTGCCGTGGGCATCGGGGGATGCAGGATCGGGGCCGCTGCGGGGGTGCTTCGCAGCTTTGTTTCTGTTGTTCTTGGCACTCGAACTCTGAACAGCTCCCTGAGCGAGACAGATCCACTGCGTGCTGTGAGCGGGATTGGGTAGGGGATTTATTTCTGTTGAAGTCAGTTCCCCTCCCCACCAAGCCGCGAGGGGATATTTAGTATGGGGTAGTAAGAATTACCAGTCCTTCAGCTGGTTGGCACGGCAGGTGAGAAAGGGGAACAGGGAAACGCCAGCTGGGGAGGTGCTTCAGCTCTGCCCGGGCTGGAACAGGTTCCCGAGCCCCTTTTGCTTGGGATCGCGTGGGACTCTAGAATAATTCTCCTTCTGGAAATATGTTAATCTTGTACAGTGTGCCTTCGAGCACAATCAGAGATTGAGCATTATCGGGAATTAACATAGGTATGGAACACCGAGCAAAACAAGCCTGATTGCTCCCTGGCAAAGATTTGGATCGGGCCGTGTTTGGAGAGGAGAGGGAAAAAAGTTCCGGCCCGCCCGCGTCTAGACCTCGGCAAAGAAGATGCTGTCTCCTCAACTGCCACCTCTTCGGCCACTGCTCTCGGCTGTGCACCGAGGCCAGGGAGCCGGCGAAGGGTTTGCTTAGACGGAGTGACTGGCATCGAGGTCGGGATCTCCGGGGAGGAGGTGAGCAGGTGACCCAGGCACGGGGAAGCAGCTCCCCCCAGCATGCTGGGGTGCTCCCTAGGGACCTGCTGCCAACGCTCCCGGCCTGGGCTGCAGGAGTGGGTGCCCGGCTATGCAGCAGGGCGGGGAACTCTCTCCCTGGCTGGAAGGGAATGACTGCGGGAAGTAGCGCTGGCCGTTTCCAGAAGTTCCCGACACGTCCCGGTGTAGAAGAGTCCGGGCTTCTCGTCCCCTCCTCGGGCTGCAGTGCTGAGGGTTTCTCTCGGGAAGTCCCGGTACTCGTCCTGATTCGGAGAATCCTTGTCTCAGCCCGCCCTGTTAGCCCGCGACCGCTCCGTGCCCTGCACGGCTGAGGCGGCCAGTGAGGGTGCCGGTGCCCGGCGCTGCGCAGGGCCAAGAGGGCATCACGCAGCTGCCGACGACCTCTGTTTTCCCACCCTCGATGAGCAGGGGGTCTGCTTGTTTTGCCGCTGGAAGGGCGAGAGGGACGAAGGTTTGGAAGGGCTTTGGCAGTTCTTCCTCCCAGGTGGAACACCGCAGACCTAAGCGATGAAGAAAACATTTTCACTTTATCAAGCTTGGTTATTTCAAGATAAGAAACACCCCCACATTGGTTCGAAAAACAGTCCCCTGCAGGAAAGGCTTTTTCTGTACCAGGAGAGGTCTAGTTTTCACGGGAAATTAAATACTCCGCTTAGGCTGGGCAAAGACTTCTATTTATGTCTGTTGTCCGTTTCAGACGCGGAGATTAAGGGACCAAACTCAGGGGTCGGCACTTCAGAACCTGGCAAACCCAGCAGCCGTCCCGATCCCGCACCCCCCGCAGGTACCGGGCGGGAGGGCTGCGTTGTGCGGGGAGCCCAGGGCGAGGGGGAGCAGGGCCCGGGGCCGGTAGTATCCCAGGTGCCGGCCGAGGGTGGTTTAGATTCGGGTGTACTCGTGGGAAGCGGCGGATCCTGTAAACTTAGACGATCTTCAATACCGGCAAAGTCTTTCGCTATTACGTTACACGTAGATTCCACCAATAAATAGATTCACGCATTAAAAGATTTGAAAAGGGAATTCTCTAGTTTGTAAAAATTAACGTAATTTCATAATAACAAAACCTGACAGTTTTGGTGAAAGTTTAAAGAGAAAATGGAATACTTGGCTAATCTAATAATGCTGATTTTAATCTCTTTTGTCGTAGAACCCTCTGAATTTTAAAATGTTGTTTCAAGATTGGCGATGCATGAGGTAACCTTTAACGCAGCGGGGGGGAAGAAAATACCGAAGTGTAATTTGTCGCCGAGAAGACAACGGGTTCGGTCTTTTCAGCGGCAGGTGTTTGTGGCGTTTCTTCTATCAAAAAGAAACGCTGCGAAAGGAGGGAGACGCTGCTGGGGAGGATGCGGCTACGCGCTGCGGGCGTTTTCGGTTTTGGTAGTGGCCGGTGCAGATGCGCAGGGGCCGGGGCGGTGCTCCCACGCGTACCCTGCGAGCACACTGCCCGCGGGAGCTGCGCCACGCGTGCTCGTAGGAGCAACACCGCTTCCTCCCCCACCCCTCCGGTGATTATTAATTAGCAGTTCTGAAGGAAGACGGCAGGATTCCTCTTCTCACGTTTGGCGCGGCAGCGGACTCGCCTCTGCCCCGCGTCTCACCTGGCTGCGGCAGGTACCGCCATGTCCCGCGGGTCTCTGCCGCCCGCCCCGGGGCTTCCTGCCGATTTGGGAGGACTCCCGCGCCGCCGAAATCTCGGCATCCCTCTCTGCTGGTGCCGACCCTAAACCCGTCGAGTAGCCTGGAAGGACCGTCCGGGGGTAACGGATAAGGCGCCATCGGGTCTCTGCCGCCGACGGGCTGCACGCTGAGGAGCTGCTGTCTAGGAGGCTGGGGAGGGAAGAGAGAGTCCAGGGCTGCCCAGGAGAAGGGCCAAGGTGAATCTACCAAAAGCAGGTTACTTACAGCACTGCGATCCTCCCCCGCCTGCCTAACCTCTTCCTTCCCCTTCACACACGGGCAGGTTGGAGGGACGGACCTGGGAGCAGGCCCACGCCGGCCCCGGGCTCTTGCAAAGGGCGCCCACTCCTGTCCTCGCCGACAGAGCTCTTGCTACCTCGGCGCGGCTGGCTCGGAGCCCCCTGAGGCGAGCGCCTGGTGAGCGATCGGAAAGACGCTTTCCCCTTGCAGGGACGGGTCCGCCCGCTCCGGCCCGGATCACTTTCCCCACCTATTGCAAGGGCAGAGGCTTATCCGCCCGGTCCCGGGGCTTGCGACACGGCCACCCTCGGGAGTCCCCACAGACACGGCCGGACCTGGTGGGGAAGTCATGCACACGTACTTACTGGCCACCTGGATCCCGCTAACAGTCTCTCCTAAAGAGAAGGGACGTTAGGGTGAGATTTAGTGGCACTCGCACCAGAAGGGTGGGAGTGATGTGTAGGAAGATATATTCTCCCACAGTAACCTCTCCCCCTCCATCCCCGGCTCTCCTTGTCCCCCTTTCTCCTCCCCCACGTGTCTGTCCGGCTGGGTTCAGCAGAGCTGGCTGTGGGCAGCCCCTTGGCGGAGGTTGTGTGAATGGAGGATCGGCGTGGCTGACTCCTCCTCCCCTGCAAGCGCCTCTATTTGAGCTTTGCAAAGTTCAGGACGAGCAAGCATCCGAGGTTAGGCGTGCGAGGAGGCTGTGCCCCCCTTGCACAGACAGACGGACACACGCGCAGGCAGGCAGACACGCGGACACACAGGCACACGCACACCCGGCCCTGCCCGGCCCTGCGCTGGGAGCGGGTGCAGCCCCGGAGGCGATCCTGGAGAACAACCTTTCCCTGTCGCTGTTGCCAGCTCCCGCCGGGCTGGACCCGGGGAGCTCCGTGCCGGATCAAACCTCTCCCAAAGGGCTGAGCTCGCCAGCCTGGTGCCTGCAGCCGGAGCCGGCCTCCGGCTTGGCGGGCAGAGGCCAGGTGTCCTGGAACAAGTACGGCCCGGGGACAGACTGGATGCCTGGCGGCAGGCAGAAGGTCTGCGAGCAGATGAGCTCCGATGTCCGCGACCTCAACGCGCTGCTGCCCTCCGTGCCCTCTCTGCCGGGCAACAGCAACTGCACCATGCCGGTGAGCAGCGCGGCGCAGTGGGCTCCCGTCCTGGACTTCCCCCCGGGGGCCTCCTACGGCTCGCTGGGGGCGCATTCCTTCATCAAGCAAGAGCCGAGCTGGAACGGGTCGGACCCGCACGAGGAGCAGTACTTGAGCGCCTTCACCGTCCACTTTTCCGGTCAGTTCACGGGCACGGCCGGGGCTTGCCGCTATGGGCCCTTCGGCGCCCCGCCGCCCAGCCAGCCGCCCTCCGGCCAGGCGAGGATGTTCCCCAACGCTCCCTACCTGCCCAACTGCCTGGAGAGCCAGCAAGCGATCCGCAACCAGGGTAAGGGCAGAGCTGCCGGGCTCGGGGGGCAGCCCTCGGAGACCCCTCTTGGCCGGGCCGGGCAGCGCTGAATGTAAGCACCGAGCTCAGCCTTTCTCCGCAGGGGCCGAGCAGGGTTAAGCGAGACAGCCCTTCCGTGCGTCCTTTCCTTCCCTGGGCGGTAGCCACTTCACTCCGAGGGGGCTCTAGAAGCCACGACTTGCTCGCCCGCAGCCCGCTGCTCTGCCAGGCAGGCTGGACCCCCCCGGGCCTTCCCCGGATCGGAGCAGCCTCTCGCCTGGTTGTTCGGGCTGGGGATGGCACCGGTGCTGGAGTGGATGTGAGGCTGGTGCCCCAAGACAATTCCCTCAGCAAGTCTATGCGGGGATGGGAAGAGGGTGTACCTCCAAACCCCATCCCGAATCCGAAAACCGCTGTCCTCACGTTAGTGCTTTCAAGTCCTTTAGAGAATTATGCACTGAATGCCCCAGGCCGTGATTTATCTTCAGCATCCCCGTGGCCGAAATCGACTGCGCTGTCGCTCGCGGCGGCTGAGAAATTCCCGTGGGCTGCACGGCAGGGCGATGGATGGGTCATTCCCTGACTGTGGCACCGGGATCACCGTCTAGTCGTTTTTCTTCCCGTGGCTGCAGTACAAATATCTGCGGGTGCAAGGGGAGGAGGAGGAAGGAAAGGGGGAGAGCTTGCGGAGAGCTTGGCCGGGGCCTTTTGGGTCTGTTTCCCTCTCCTTCAGCTGCCCCAGGGTCGTCTGACCGAGGGGGGTCGGGCCTTCGCGCCTGCAGGCGGAGGGAAGCACGGCGAAGGGCCGGCGCGGAGGCCTAGGCTGTGTGTCAGACGAGGCCGGCGAGGCGGCCCGGGGCGACGTTTGCAGTGCGGAGAGGTAACGGCGACCGTGGGGAAGTGTTTGTTCAGCTGCACGGCCGAATACGGGCCTCCTTCGGGCAGTGCATCCCTGTGCCACCGCTCCGCTGCCTTCGTTTCCAGGCCCCGCTGGCCGCCCGGCGCCTGGCTCGCAGTTAATGTGAGGAACCGCGGGGCAGGGCTCCGGGGTCTTGCCGCCGAGACCGGCTGAGGAGATGAGCAGCAGCCCTGGCACTCCACGACAGAGTCGGCCTCGCTGGGTTGGCGGCGGGGCGCCGGAGCTCCTGCGTACCCTGCGGGGCTCCGAGATCCGCTCGGGAGCGTCCTGTGATCGCCCCAACACAGAGCGCGGTGGGTCAGGGAGCTCTGCCGGGGAAGTCTTTGACATATGAAAGGATTTTAGATATCGCAGAGGATTTTAATGGCTGGGCAGAAATAGCTACGGGAAGGTGCAGAGAAGGGTAATGGAATAGCTCGGCCCTGGGTGTGTGTGCGCGGGTAGGAGAGGGAAAAAATACCTGCCACCCCGCGCCATCCTGTAGCCTGAGTTTAACCACCCCAGAGAGAAACAGAGCCTTTAACGCGCCACTGAGCCGGTGCCCCGATTTACTTGGTCCCCAGCTCTCTGCGGGAGGCGCTCGGTCTGCGGCGCAAGGTCCCGCACACAGACCCCTTTGCGTGCCCGAGAGCCGGGGCCCAGTGGCCGTACACTTCTTTGCACCTCCCGGGCCCGGTCGGTTGGATCGAGACCCTGTGAGAGTGGTGTCCCGCTCCTCCGGTGATTCGCCGGGCCTGGGGGCTCTGCTAAGTTCGCGGCTGCTCCCCGCATGAACAGCACCGCTGCTTAGCCATAGCTATGTTCGGCGGCAACACGCAGCGAACTCCTTCGGCAAGGAGGAATTCGGCAAAGAGCGTTTGATTTCCTTTTTTATGTGTGTGCGTATGGATAAAGTGTTCTTCCTTTGGATCTCCTCAAGGCTGAAATCCTGGGTTGTTTCTTTTAAGCCGGTTGCTCCGACCGTGGGAAAGATGCTACCTTGGCTCTGCGGTAACACTTCTGCCAAGTCTGGAGTGGTGTGGGGGTTAGGGAACCAAAGCTTTGAAACCTCTGCCCAGTTTTCCTCTCCTCGTTCGCCTGTCTCTTTCATCCAGCTGGGCTCCTCCAACAAATGGACGCCTCCAGTTCTCCACCAGATGTACAACTTTCAATTATTTTCAGCACATCTTAATCAGGACTGTCTCTGATAACGCCCTAATTAAAGAGACCTCACTATCGGCAGCTCGGTTCAGAACTCAACTTTCTTATCACATTCCTGAAGCTTTGGGTCAGGCAACACCGGAAAGCGCGGCCAAAACCTCGTTCTGCTCCGAGCTGAGTTTTGAAGGTCACCGAAAGTCTGCGCCGGGCCAGAAGTAACGTGGAAAGTGTTAGTGCTTGCTGAAAGTTAAAAAAGAATCAGGAAAACGGGGAAAAGGGAGTTGAGGATTGAGGCTCTACTCTGAGGGCTAAGGGAGGAGATAAGGAGCGAGAAGCAGCTGTGGGATGGGAGCCCTTGAGGTACCGGTCTGTCATCGCTGCCGCAGCGAGGCAGAGCTGGGCTCCTGGAGCGAGGGGATGTGGGACAAGACAGCCCCACATCTACCCCAGCCCCGCAGCCTCAGCGCCGGCTTACATTCCTCGCGAAGGGGAATGTTTCAAAGGATTATTTCTTCCTCCCTCATTCCCCCATACCCCCCCCCACCCCTCGTTGCCCCTGTCGTTGCTCCCTCGCAAGGTTAATGGAGTTCTGTAATGTCGCTAGATCCAGGCTGTCTGCAAAGAGAATGAAATGGAGAAGCAACAGTTGCACCCCTTTTTTGCCTCTCCTCTTCCCCCCGTGATATATATCCATAGATCGGCGGTTGCGATGCAGAGCCCAGCACCCGGGACCCAAGGGAGCTGAGAGGGGAGCCTGAAAACAGCCCAGGAGTGGACTGACAAAATCCTCCCCGGCCACACGCCACATCCCGACGGGCAGGGAGGGTGTGCCCCGGCTGGATAAGTGGGGTTCGGGGGGACGAGCAGGGCTGCGTTTGGTTTCTTTTCCCAGCCCGGGAAGGAGTTTTTGGTTTGTTGTTTTGGAAGAATGACTCTCAGAGGAGCTCGGCTCTCGGGGTAAACGCTGATGAGCCGAGAAGCCTCCGAGATAATATTACTTTGTAATTACTTTTTTAGCTGAGTTGTTTAGCCAGCTCCAAGTCATTAATGAAAGCTGGTGTCCAAACACCTGATTTACGGTTTGGTGTTGGCCAGGGGTCAGCAGAGGTGGGTGCTTTCCATCTAAATCTGCTCGGTGTAGGAAACAAAACAAGCTGTTTATTATTTGGGAGAGTAATTTTCGCTGAAAGGAGGAGTTTTATTTTTGCATGTAACATTCCGCCTTATTGCAGACTCTTCAGAAAGCGGCCTTAAAAAAAAAAGAAGATTAAAGGGTAACTTCTAAATTGGAAACGGCAGAGGAGTACACTGAGCAGATGGGAACCTTCCTCTTTAATATGAGCATCAATTAATGAAAACATCCTTTTTATTACCGAAGCCAATCTGTTCTCTTTAAACACGGACGAGACTTCCGACTTTCCGCCCGTCGGAGAGGGCTTCCCGGCGCGCCACTCTCCACCGCGCGGGGGTTCCATCGGGGTCCATGGTGATCCCACCGGGCTTCCACCGCTGCGGCTCGGCCCGGTCCGCAGCCTTGCAAAGTGCAGGTGCTGGGAGATGAACGGAGGGACACTCGTTGTCGTTTTCCTCATGGTGGCCGGGCAGCAGCACCGGGGGAGATGAGCGTCTCTCTCGACGCCCGCCCGAGGAGGCTTGGCGGGAGGAGGGGGGGACTGTCAGCCGAGCGAACCCAAGGCACGTCCTAACCCCTCAATGCTCGCTCCCTCGGCAGGTTACAGCACCGTGGCGTTTGACGGGACCCCCAGCTATGGCCACACGCCGTCGCACCACGCCGCCCAGTTTACAAACCACTCCTTCAAACACGAGGACCCCATCAGCCAGCAGCCTTCGCTAGGTAATGTCAGCCCCGCGGTGGCCCGGCCCGCAGGGCAATCCGGTGCCATGCCGCTGTCTCACTGCAGTGCTGTCGCGGAGCT